GTCCATGATGTTAGTGTACAGCATTTTTTCAAAGTGTGTATACAGTGTAGTTAGTACATGTGCAGTTGTGCGGTTTGAGTGTATGACTCATTGTTAGTCATCTGTCCTGGGACGCACTAAACTCAGCGCCAAGTGTGTGTGTGTGTGTGTGTGTGTGTGTGTGTGTGTGTGTGTGTGTGAGACGCCATGTGCTTTTCCAGGCTCTCAGCTATGTACACAACATGTAGAAAGTGGAGGGGGGGGGCTTCCTGTTTACCAGGTGCATCTTAGAGAGAGAATAATAACACTCTCACTTAACTCTAATCCCTTTAAACACATCCTGGTAAAATGAAGACTTCTGTGTTGTAGTTATTACAAATGTGTGTTCAATTGATTTTTTTTCTGGACCTACTTGAGGAAACATGGTCGACAAGTGCCAACAAATATCTGAATAATTACTGCAATTGCACTTTTAGTAAACGCTGCGCATGTTTCCTCGAGTTAGTGAAGATGTTCCTTCATCTTAATGTGTTTTGGCACATATGGGTGTTTATATCTTCATTGTTTCTGAAGCTGCAAAGTGTTTCTCCAAATGGAAAAGCTTCAGGCCGTTGTAGCACATTCACACTTGCAGACCACCGTATGTTTACTGTTTAGTTATATAATGGCGCATTTCCATTGCAGGGCCTCGCTCGCAGGGACGTGCACAGGTACGGGCTAATGTTGCCTGGGCAACGGCCCGTTTTCCCTTTTTGGCTGACCTGCCCGTCTGGAGAGAGCGAGAGGTTTTATTTGTCTTTCTGTTGTGGTCGAATCAACATGATAAGCCACAATTAGTATTGTAGTGTCTCGCTGCGGGAAACACACCAGCTTCATTCTTCTTCTACTACTTATTTTACTTCTTCTTCTCCTTCTTCTTACATGTAATTGCCCGCGAAATGTTGAATGAAGAACTCATTGGTTTCAGCAGTGGCGGCCGGTCCATAGGGGCGCTAGGGGCGCCGCCCCACCTCTTCCCATATTGATAAAAATAAATAATAATTAAAATTAAAATAAAAAAAAAAAATATGTTTAAAAAAATATATATGTTTTTATTTTTATTTTTAATGAACAAGGTAAATATTATATAATTGGTATCAGTAAAATGTATAATCTACAATAAAATCTCGTTTAAAATTGTGTTACGATGTCTAAAGTTACTGATAAGTCACATGTTTCCTGCCTGGCCTTGCCCATGCACCTTCTCTCGTCTGGGCGCTAAGAGAGGAGCCTTCAACCAGTGCAGCAGCAGCCACCAGCAGCTGACTGTTGCTATCTGTAACGTGTAAACTATGCCGCGAAAATATAATTTCAGCCAATTAGCGTCGTCAAAGATGACGGTCACCGGGCGCCAATGTCAGCGCCCAGTGCAGTCTGTGAGTAGTTTGGACAGTGACTCGTATCCGGTTGACGCAGTAGTTGATGAGGATGGCTTCGTGTGCAGGTGGAGTCTCCGGACCTCGGTCCGCGCCTAATTCTGTTCAAGAGCTAATCTCCAATCCTTTCGAAAGGAGAAGTTTGGCAGATAAATTGTTGCTTAAAGACCTTGCACCGGACCAACCCGATTTGAATATATCGCAGCAATCTCGTGAAAAAGACAACATTTATACACGAGGCTTCACAAGTAGCTGGTACACAAGAAAGGCTTGGCTAGCTGGATGCAAACAGGTAAATGCTGTCTTTTGTTTCCCATGCTTGGATATCACTTTATATGTAGAGAGGAGGTTTCCCATGGTTGTTAGAAGTTTATTAATAAGTGGGCATTTATCACAGAAGTGATTGTTCTGTCTCCACGTTTGTTGCATTGTCTGTGATGTATTTTCCAACGGTTATAGCTCCTGTTCTGTCCCAGCAACACTACACGGTTTGCAGCTCCACCACATTTTTGGTTTATCTTCGGTGTCGCTTAAAATCTGCTTCCCATCGGACTAAAACCTCCACGTAATCTGAAGACAGATACTTGAAGTTATTTAAACCTTTTGCAAACTTTATGTTCTTTCTTGCTCTAGCCTTGCCAGATACATTGTACATAACACATATATTATCATTATGCTAACTGGTTGTTCGTGTTAGACGATGTAGCTTTTTCATTTCTGAGTTATTGATATATGTAAATAAGCCTGTTTGTAAATAATCCTCAGAGAAACAAAGAAAAAACACAATTTATGACATTTTGTGCTGTGGTTATTTTTTTTAAATTGCATTTATTCACAGTTCAGTTTGAAATGCTGTAGTGACTTGTATTGAACCACTTAAATATTTATAATTAATGCTACTGAAAAGATGCTATTAATTTTATATCTCACATGCAGTTCACTGTAAAGCTACTTGGTGAAGGTGTTGGTTCATAAAACATGAACAGTTTTAAGAAAGAAAAAAACAGACCAGTTCTGAGAACACAAATTCCTGGTAAAGTAGTAGATGTTCAGGTTGATAAATAATATTTTCCACACTGAAGATTATGGAGGTATTGATCAGTCTTCTCATATTTTTAAGCCTCGATTTCTCCTTCCCCCCCCCTCTAACATCACCAGAAGTCATCATTTAAGGGGTCATTTCTCGAAAAAAAAATTCGGGGGGAAACCCCCCGGGTAGGTCACTTGCGGTACGTCAAGAGCCCCACCAAAAAAAAAGACCACCGGCCGCCACTGGGTTTCAGTATGAACTCATTCCACAGTATGACCACAAAAGTGTTTTAAACCAGGTAGGCCTATATTTTTATTATGTATGTTCTATATTGCTAAGTGTGTGATTACACATGTTACGTATTATATATATAATATGTATTATAGGCTACTGTATTGGTGCCGGTGCGTTAAGACCACCTCTAGTGTCGGATTTTGGAAAATGGATTTTGAGTTTTGTCATGGCAGGGACTTTACTTCCTCTTGACACCGTCGGTTATTTACAAAAAAACACCTACGTATACTTGTTATTGTGCTTCTGTCTTTCTGTGTCTTTCCATCTGCTCCGTAAACTCCTATTAAACATCCATGGTAAACTCCCTCAATGCGCCGCTCGCTCTCTTCTCTTGATCGCCCTCTCTCAGGAGAACACTTCACTGTCCCGCTGCATTGTAGGATTTCTGCCATGTCTCCAGTTTGACCATCTCTGTTATTAAGTTATGGAATACTAAATAAATAAGTAATTAGATACCTTACCGTTACTGCGCTCATAAAGAATGATAAGAATAAGAATAATGCGTATTGAACTGGTTTCATTAGTGAGTTTATTTAAGGTAATTAGTTAGAAGCCCTATTTTATCAGTTTGTCTGCACAGCAGTTACAAAGGGCAAACTACATTAAAACGGAATTGTCCCCATGTTTTCTTTAATAGTTACTAACATTAGATATTTTAATGAGATATGGACCGCAAAACAAAAAATGTCCCTGGTTTTCATTTTAAAAATCAAGTCACTGAATGCAAGTAGTTGCCTTAGCTTATTCTGTTATGAGATGATGTGAATTACTGTTCAAATTAGTTAATGTAATAATCGTTTTGGTCTTATATTTTTTATCGGGGGGGAGGCCCTTTTTCCAGTTTAGAGCAATAGCCCCTCCAACTGTCTGTGCACGTCCCTGCTCGCTCAGCTTAGTACGGTATAGTTAGGCCTTGTTAGGCCTTGTTAGGACTGGCTCACTTTATGCTGCGTATCCATTACAGTTTAGTAGCTGGGGCAGTAACTATAGTAACGCAGTGTAGGCGGAGCCGTGACGTCATCTTCAATGAGCACCACAAAACCAACATCAGCCGTTAGCTGTTAGCACTCAGAGCTCACAGCTCCTCATATCTGTTCAGAAACTAGACAAAAGTTAAACAAGTACAAACCACAGACTGCCTGTGTCATGGTGAATACAGTCGCTGGTTTATTTATGTCTGTATAGGCCGTTGTTGTGAGTGTGGACGGTCGGAGCATATACAACGTTAGCTTAGCCGATCTCCATTCAGAAAACACGCATTTTAAAAGGTTTTTCGCCTGCCGTCTGTCTGCAGACTTGACAAAGCATTAATTCATGGTTTTTACTAACCGGTATCAGTATGTTGTTACTTCGGCATCATTTTGAAACGTGTATTACAATTAAATCACGGTCAAATATGTCCATCTTGTTGTAGTTGTAGCCCCCTTGCCATCGATTCTCTCTCTCTAGTTTAGCATACTCAGCCCGACTCAGCCTGGTTGTTGGCCCGCTAAGAACCTCGATTTTATGGGGCCAGAAAAACTGTGAAATAGTACCCGCTAGCCGGTAGGCTACTATGCCAAGTGGAAACGCAACCAAAAAACGGGCCGCGCACGGCACGCTTAAACCGCGCTCCGCGCTGTAGTGGAAATGCACCATTATACACACAAAGCAAAGTCCTTTTATACGTAAACCTACTTGGTAATAAACCTGTTCATAGAATAATGATGTTTAAATGATCCTTCTCTTATATATTGCAAACAATGATGCAATAGATTTATTTGTATTAACTTGCACTATTTTATCTGTTGTATTGTGTTGCTCTGTTGGAGGAGCCTGTGACCTCAGATTTTCATTGACATATCTACACTGTAGCTACAAATGACAATAAAAGCCTTGAAACTTGAATTGCAATTAATCAACAACTCAAAATGAAGAAACTTCCCCGGAAGCCCCCCAGTGCAGAAACCGTTGGAAACAAACTTTATGATAAATGTTCTCCAGGAAACAAAGCGGCAGTTAAGATAAAGCTCAACGGGACATCAGCAGCTAACATCTGGAGCTGCTCGCTGCACGCACACACACACACACACACACACACACACACACACACACACACACACACACACACACACACACACACACACACACACACACACACACACACACACACACACACACACACCCTCACACACGCATGGGAGGAGGTTGCTCTGGGGGAAGCGGGCTAACGGCAGGCAGTTAGAGAGGGGGTGTGGACTCAGAAAGAGAGAGAGGGGCCGTATAAAGAGCCACTCAACACAGCCAGACTGCATCCTGCCTCACTCAGACCTCACAGGAAACACACACTCCTCACCTCCTCCACCTCTGAACACACTCCTCACACACACACTCCTCACACACACTCCTTTACCCTCTCCAGTATCAGTGTGACCCAGTGAGAGGATGGCCATGTGGAGGATGACCCTGCTGCTCGGCGCTCTGCTGCTCAGCTGTGAGTACAACTTCATTCATAAAACTTCTTTAAAAAAAGTTCCCTCAGAGTTTTACGTTGAGTGTGCAACCCTTTGCTCTTCCTTCGTTTGTGTTTTTAACCTGAACGTGGGCGATATTGCATTTTATTTAACGTCACACTGAGGGGTTTTCTTTACACGCTGGCGGGGGGGTTTGCTTTGATGCCATGAGGCTGCACACAGACACAAAGGCTCTGCTGAGGAGTGGAAAGTTGGGAATAATTATGCTTTTCATCCTGCAGTGCATCTGGGTGGAGCTGATGCATGTTTGAATGTGTGTAAAAGGGATAAAACCAAGCAAAAAACAACAGATTCATGTGTTTTTATGACTCCAGTGAATGTATTTAATGTAAATATAGGCTGCTTGAACACAGGAAAGTGTTTGAATGCATGTTTGAATGTGTGTAAAAGGGGTAAAACCAAGCATGAAACCACAGATGTATGTATGTTTATGCCTTCAGGGAAGATATATCCATGTAAATATGAGCTGCTTGACCACAAAAGAGTTTTTTTTTTTTAATTAGATGCACTTTATTGATCTAGATTTGGGTTTTTGGTACAGCAGCATGTAAACAAGGCTTTGCACACGAGAATTCAAAGTCAAAAGGATAGACAGTATACAGCAGTGGATTCAGAGTTCCCTCCCTGTGTGTGTGTGTGTGTGCACGTGTGTGTGTGTGATCATGTGTGTGTGATCACGGGCAGGCTGCTAATTGCAAGGTGATGTATGACTGGTTCTGGATCAGCTCGGTGTAACGACTTCTGCAGAGCCTCGGGGCGAGAGAGGTGACCTTTGGGAGGAGAGGGGGTGAGATGAGAATAACTTTAAGGTTTATTTTAAAAGGGGAAACGATCATGAGACGGGGGAACACGGTGGCAGTGTGCACATAAAAAGGCGTGTGCATCAGCAGCTAACACACGGTGATTAGATTTACGGTAAATCTAATAACTGTGGAGTGGACACGCCCCATCGAGGAGTAAAAGCCACGATACAGAGACACACATAATAATCAGGTTATTTTGTTGATTGAAAAACATTTCTCTCTGTAATTAGGGGTTAGTTTTACTGATGGGAAACAGGGTCTTCGTCGCCAAACATCTGGTTTACAGAGTTTTTCAAACTTTTATTACTTTTTTTATGATGTTTTTTTTGTATTTTCAACAAAAAGTATTGCACATGTTCCCTAGCGATATAAAATAAAAACACATCAAATAAATAAACAAGATGAAATTCAGCCACCATGCTCACACATTTTGTACATTATTATTAATAATACAAATTATAAATAATAATAGTATTTAGAAGAAGAAAAAATAATAAAATAAAATTGAATAATAATATTCATCTTAAAATGTATAAATACAAATAATAATAATAATAATAATAATAATAATATTAAATATAAAAAATATCATAATAATAATAACCAAAAATAATAAAAATTACAAAAAAGAAGAAATACAAATGAAAAATAATAATAAAAAAGGTTCTCTCACTTTTAGTTGGTTGGTACTTCATGATTCCCATTTAAAAACCTCTATTTTAATTAGTAATAATAATCTCCATCCACTGCCCTTTTAGTGGGGGCTCAGCCTCACGCCAGTCTCTGGTTAGTTGTTGTCTTCTTGCTTGTAACCAACAGTACCTTGGTTAAATATCTATCAGTATTTCACTAAAATGGTTTATATTTCCAAAGTGCACACCTCTTCAGGATGTCTTTGATTGTAGTGTGCATGTTTTTTGCCAAAGTAAATCATTCTGGAAAACATCAGTGCAGTCTGAGGTCTGCTAACTCGGCACTATGCTCACACACACCTGTGATATTATTCACACACACGCACACGTGCACGCACACACACACACACTCACACACGTCCAACTGTCAATGTGGTGCTATCTTCCAGAGGCAGGGTCACAAGTGGCTGCAAGAATAAACACAATACTGGAAAAGCCCTCCTGTAAATGCATCGATGTTTGTATACAGTAGAGGGAATGTGACGTCAACAACAGCAAGTCTGCCATCTTTGGAGGATACCACCAACATATTGATTTAACCTGTAAGGCGAGCAAAGTGGTTTTAATCCGATGAATTTAAACGTTTGAACATTGGTCGGTATGCAGCCAATCCCACGACCAACTACAAAACAAAAGAAGGACCATGGGATAATGTTTTTTAAAAGGAAAACCTTACAATGGAGACGGAGCCCTGAAAGATTGGAGTATTCACAAATATACGTTTTGTTAGCATTCAGTTAGCAAAGCATTAGCTGTTTCGCTCATGATGTTAAAGCTGTCATTAAACCTGTCGATTTGAAGGTCCTGTACGCCTTGTTTGTAAATAACACATGAGCGTCCACAGATTTCATATTGTTAAGCTGCAGACAGGTGTAGGCGCTAACACCGAACAGGCGTTTCAGTAACGGTGATCGAAGGCAGGTTGTCAGGATCATTTGACCATTTTTCTCTTCATTTATTAATTAAAACATTTCGCCCCTATGCCTAATATTTTCATTTTGCATACACTTTAATCATTTCTGATGCAAAACAACTGACCACTGATAGAAAGGAATGGATGCAGGAATGAGTCCTAAAACCCGGAAATTGCTTAGCATGTCATCACTTCCTGTCCCCTTGGTCTGGAAGTCAATGGTTTTTGATTGTGTTTTTGGTTGTTGGCTTGAAGTAATAAGTAATAAGTAATGTTGATAACGTAGAAAGAGCCATACTCAGTACTTAAAGCACATTTCTCTGGTGATGCTTTAGTGACATTTTGAATTCAGGACTTTCAATTATAATGGAGTTTTTTAAGACCATAGCATTTCTACTTTTACTTGATAAAGGATGTGAGTATTTCTTCCATCTCTGGTCTGGTCACAAGACTCCCAAATTATAAGGACTGCGGGTCAGAGGGTCTGCCCCTCGATGATGTCTTTATGCTTCAAAACATTTCCGATGTTTCACGCTTCATTAAGTCTGTCTCCTGCATGAAGAACACTCTTTGTTACTCTGATGCATGCAGAGCGTCTTTTTGGAGGTCGTAGTGTGTCGGGGGAGTTTAATCAATGCCACATTAGATTTGGTGGAAGTGATGTCATTACCCAGAGGGCCTTGGGGTGTGGCAGCTGATCGGAGGCCAGTCTTAAAAACATGCTTTGTAGTATGTCTGCAAAATGGAGAAGAGCCTAAGCAATGTCTTTTTCTCTCTTTGTCTCACATTTGGAGAACTCATTTATGAAAGGCCTGCAGCTTGTTTATGGACTCAGATAGTGTGCACAAATGTATGTAAATTATGTTCTTAATATTTAACCTTGAATGTTGTTCATGTAGAAAAATTAATACATTTGAAATTAATTTGGTATAGCATTATATCTCGGTTAGTTCGAAAGGGACATTGCTTATTTGAAACAAATAGCTTTTATCATATAAATACAAATGACTCCACTAGATGGTGCTGAGTTTGTCTCTGATGGGGTTATGGGATTGGTATACAGACACATGCTGCTCATCTTCAGGTGTATATCAGTATGTAGTGTCTCTACATTAAAGAGTCCTCTCTTGCTCATCTTCAGGTGTATATCAGTATGTAGTGTCTCTACTTTAAAGAGTCCTCTCTTGCTCATCTTCAGGTGTATATCAGTATGTAGTGTCTCTACTTTAAAGAGTCCTCTCCTGCTCATCTTCAGGTGTATATCAGTATGTAGTGTCTCTACTTTAAAGAGTCCTCTCCTGCTGATGTTCAGGTTCATATCAGTATGTAGTGTCTCTACTTTAAAGAGTCCTCTCCTGCTCATCTTCAGGTGTATATCAGTATGTAGTGTCTCTACTTTAAAGAGTCCTCTCCTGCTGATGTTCAGGTGTATATCAGTATGTAGTGTCTCTACTTTAAAGAGTCCTCTCCTGCTGATGTTCAGGTGTATATCAGTATGTAGTGTCTCTACTTTAAAGAGTCCTCTCCTGCTGATGTTCAGGTGTATATCAGTATGTAGTGTCTCTACTTTAAACAGTCCTCTCCTGCTGATGTTCAGGTGTATATCAGTATGTAGTGTCTCTACTTTAAAGAGTCCTCTCCTGCTGATGTTCAGGTGTATATCAGTATGTAGTGTCTTTACTTTAAAGAGTCCTCTCCTGCTGATGTTCAGGTGTATATCAGTATGTAGTGTCTCTACTTTAAAGAGTCCTCTCCTGCTGATGTTCAGGTGTATATCAGTATGTAGTGTCTCTACTTTAAAGAGTCCTCTCCTGCTGATGTTCAGGTGTATATCAGTATGTAGTGTCTCTACTTTAAAGAGTCCTCTCCAGCTGATGTTCAGGTGTATATCAGTATGTAGTGCCTCTACTTTAAAGAGTCCTCTCCAGCTGATGTTCAGGTGTATATCAGTATGTAGTGTCTCTACTTTAAAGAGTCCTCTCCTGCTGATGTTCAGGTGTATATCAGTAAGTAGTGTCTCTACTTTAAAGAGTCCTCTCCTGCTGATGTTCAGGTGTATATCAGTATGTAGTGTCTTTACTTTAAAGAGTCCTCTCCTGCTGATGTTCAGGTGTATATCAGTATGTAGTGTCTCTACTTTAAAGAGTCCTCTCCTGCTGATGTTCAGGTGTATATCAGTATGTAGTGTCTCTACTTTAAAGAGTCCTCTCCTGCTCATCTTCAGGTGTATATCAGTATGTAGTGTCTCTACTTTAAAGAGTCCTCTCCTGCTGATGTTCAGGTGTATATCAGTATGTAGTGTCTCTACTTTAAAGAGTCCTCTCCTGCTGATGTTCAGGTGTATATCAGTATGTAGTGCCTCTACTTTAAAGAGTCCTCTCCTGCTGATGTTCAGGCGTATATCAGTATGTAGTGTCTCTACTTTAAAGAGTCCTCTCCTGCTGATGTTCAGGTGTATATCAGTATGTAGTGTCTCTACTTTAAAGAGTCCTCTCCTGCTCATCTTCAGGTGTATATCAGTATTTAGTGTCTCTACTTTAAAGAGTCCTCTC